ATAGTAATAACGGTAGTATTCGCAGCACTACTACCGTTACGAATAATAGTAGCAATGCCAACACTACCAATAGTATTAACACTTTTCGCAATCGTATTCGCAGTTTTCTCAAGAATACTATGACTACCTCTCGTGACAACATTAACAATAATAGTACCACTATTGCGAATCGTATTACTAATAGGAATCACAAACACAGTATTATTATTATCAACGCTAGCAACGATCATACTTATGAGAATCTTAATCTGGACATGCATAATCGTAATCATAGTTATAGTCGTAATCGTACTCATACTCGCAACAACAATGATACGTAGAAGATGAAGGGGAAGAGGATGAGAAAGAAGAGGAGGAGGGGGAGGACGAGAAGGAGGAGGAATAGTAGCAGTACGACTCGTAATACAGTAACAAGAAAAGTGTTAGCGCGAAAAAGGCGAGGAGGAACAGGAGGATAAGGCGGAGGAGGATGAGGAGGGGGAGGAGGAGGAACAATACTAGTACGACTAGAGCAAATAATAATAGTATTACCGCAAGGAAGTCGAGAAGGAAGAGCAGGAGGAGGAAGAGGAGGAGGACACATAATGGAGGAGGGAGCGGAACAGGAGCAACATGATGGTCCGCAGTGACAGGAAGAGGGGGGCGAGAAACCACAGGCAGAGGAAGCCGAAAAAGAGGAGGAGGATGACGCACTCCAGGAGGAATAGGAGGAAGAGGTGGAGCAGGAGGAGGAGAATGAGGAATAAGAGGAGGAGGGGGGAACGAACGGAGAGGAAGAGGAGCGAAGAACATTGTCAACAGAAAATAAGTCAATCAATGGGTGCTGGGTGCGGGGGAGAGGGGCGCACACACATGTATGTTTGCATGTTTGCATGCATGCATGCATGCATGTATGCACGTATGTCGGAGGTTGGGGGGTGAGATCGCAGTGGGACGGAGACCCCCAACCGGGAAATCGTTTCGTTTTGTTCGTGTCGTGCGTGCGGGCGAGGCGAAGCTGCGTGGGCGCGCAAGAGGAATGGTCCCGCCGTTGCTAGGGCGAAGTCAAGACAAATGATTCTCCCCCTCCCGCCCGTCCGGCGGTGGCCACCAGGTGTCCCGCGGTGTCCCGTGGTGTCGCGTGGTGCCCGCCGTTGCTAGGGCGAAGTCAAGACAAATAGTTCTCCCCCTCCCGCCCGTCCGGCGGTGGCCACCAGGTGTCCCGCGGTGTCCTGCGGTGTCCCGTGGTGTCCCGTGGTGCCCGCCGTTGCTAGGGCGAAGTCAAGACAAATGATTCTCCCCCGCCCCCCCGTCCGTCCGTCCGTCCAGCGGTGGCCCGTGGTGTCCCGCGGTGTCTCGTGGTGTCCCGTGGTGTCGAGTGGTGTCCCGTGATGTCCCGTTGAATGAGATCGATCGTAAGGTCGATAGTGCGATCGATAGTGAGATCTATAGTGAGATTGATAGTGAGATCGATACTGAGATCGATGTGGTGCCCCGAGGTGTCCCGTGGTGTCCCAAGAAGTGAGATCGATAGTGAGATCGATAGTGAGATCGACAGGTGTCACGTGGAGTCCCGTGGTGTCCCGTGGTGTCCCCTTGAGTGAGATCGATAGTTAGATCGATGGTGAGATCGATACTGAGATCGATGTGGTGTCCCGTGGTGTCCCGTGGTGTCCCAAGAAGTGAGATCGATAGTGAGATCGATAGTGAGATCGACAGGTGTCCCGTGGTGTCCCGTGGTGTCCCCTTGAGTGAGATCGATCGTGAGATCGATAGTGAGATCGATAGTGAGATCGATGTGGTGTCCCGTGGTGTGTGATGGCGTCGCGTTGGGTGAGATCGATCGTGAGATCGACAGTCAGACCGATAGTGAGATCGAGAGGTGTCCCGCGGTGTCCCGTGGTGTCCCGTGGTGGCCCGTTGTGTCCCGTGGTGTCCCGTTGAGTGGGATCGATAGTGAGATCGATTGAGTCAGATGTTGGTTCCCCCCTCTTCCCCCCCCACAACCTCCTTATCACCCGAAGGGCGGTCGTATAGGTATGTGTATATGCATGTGTGAATGTGTGTATGTATGCGCAAGTGTATGTGTGTACATACATGCTTGCGTACATGTTTGTGTATGTGCATATGCATACGTGTATGCACATGTATAGGTTTATGCATTTGTGTATGTACATGCACATATGTATATATCAATATGTGTATGTGTCTGTATATGTATAGTGTATGTGCATGTGTATGTGTATGTGTTTATGTATATGTATACATATAGGAATAGAGGAATGTGTACATGCATACGTGCATGTCTACGTATATGTATGTATATGGGTGTATATATATATATATATATATCTATATTCACACGTACATGCCCATGAATAGGTACATGTCAATTTTTGTATATCTATATGTATATGCAAATGCATCTGTTGATGTGCATGTACTCATATACGTCTGTCTATATGTATACGTTTACGTATTTGTTTATGTATGTGTAGTGGTATGCGTGTATGTATATGCATGTGCATACGTATGTGTACGTGTACGTGTATATGTATATGTATAGGTCTATGTAATATACAATTATATGATATGTTCCCCAATCAGAGCTTGCCTCTGTAGGGGTCCTAGCGGATTCATATGGTTAGGTTAGGTTTGCCGCCGACTTTCGCCGCACGCCCGGGTGCCCGGGTGTCCGGGGGTGCCCGGGTGCCCGGGTGCCCGGGTGCCCGGGTGCCCAGGCGTGCCCGGGGGTGTCCGGGCGCCCGGGGGTGCCCTATAGCCCTATAGCCCAAAAGCCCTATAGCCCTATAGCCCTATAGCCCAATAGTCCTATAGCCCTATAGCCCTACAGCTCTTTAGCCCTATAGCTTTATAGCCCTGTAGCTCAATAGCCCTATAACCCTATAGCCCCCTAGCCCTATAGCCCTTTTTTTATTCCCCCCCCGGTATCATTCGTGTATATGTACACATATGTACGTGTGTGTATGTATGTATAGTTGTATTTCGATATATATATATATATACATTCATATGACTATTTGTGCATGATTGGTACATATATGTGTATACACACGTACATCTGTAAGATGTATATATATACAGATACATACACACACGTGTATGTCACATTCTATTGCGTTGCGCTCATGGGTAATTATACATATTCATACCCGTGGCATATATGTTCAGTGGTCAAAGCCAGCTGCCTGGAACCCTCATGCACGGACCAGGGCCCGGGGGGCGGTCCCGGAAAAAGGACCAAGACGGGCCCCCAGAGGGCCTCAAGACTGCCCAAGTCAGCACCCGGGCGGCACGAGAGCCCTCCAGGACGCCCTAAGGTAGTTCCCAGACATGTTATCGCGATGGCTACAGAAGCTCCACGAGGTCCCAGAGACGCCTTTCGAGAGAACAACATCCTTTAAGGCCATATGGGGAAATATGATTCTGGCTTTCTCACCGTTTCACTGCCGATACGTTTCCGACGTTTGAACATGACATCCGAGAAGCGCCCAAGAGGTTTCGACGACGCTCACAATATGCCCGAGGAGGCCCCCACGAGACTCCAAAGAGGCCCCTAAGAGTCCCCAGGAGGCCCCAGAAAACGATATGAGATGCTTCAAGGGGCCCCGCAGACGCCCCGAGGAGGCCCCCCTAAGAGGCCCCAGGGTATTCAAAGAGGCCACCCAGGCGTCCGTAACCATTGTGACTCAAGCCGTTTGTTCTCGTCCCCAGCGTAGGTCCTCAGCTTTCTTGCCCCATCGGAGCACTTCAGTTTTCGTAGTCCGCCATGCGTTTTTCCGTGGGTTCGGCTCACGTCGGCCCACGTTCGGCCCCTTGCGATCCTGTAGCAATGACCTTCAGTCTTGTCACCATGCTCTTTTTTGCCACGGCGGCCATCTTGATGCGTCTCGGATCCAAAGGTAACTCAGCGGCCGCTAGCTTGGTGATCTGGTGTCAGACGTTGTCTCTTGCAGCCGTGTTGGGCAGTGTCGTGCGTGGTGGTATGAATGGCCAGACCGATTTGTCATTTTCTGCAGCTCTCGGTTGCTTGTCTCTGCTGCATGATGCTGGTAGCTTCTGCATTACGAAAGCTTTGGCGCATCCTTTGGCAGGAGTGTGTTCTGCTATTTGGGGGTCACATGCTGTAGTGGTGCTTCTCATGGACATCATTGTCTTGCACAAGTTCCCGAATGACGTTGCGTTGAGCGAAATGTGCTGTACCGTCGCAGGGATCCTGGTCTGTTCGACGTGCAGCCGCGAGCCGGAGGCCGTCCCGATAAGGCAGAGCAGCGACGACGAGGTGGGGGGAAACGTCGCCCGGGCGATGCTGGGTGTTCTGCGGAGTCAGAGATGAGGGCTTTCCCGCATCAGGTGTCCATGCGGCGGAATTCTTTAAGCCGCTCCGATGTCTGATGCGCTGCAGATAGAGGTTGCGGGAGGAGGAGGAGAGGAGGAGGAGGAGGAGGAGGAGGAGGAGGAGGAGGAGGAGGAGAAGGATGTGGTGGTGGTGGTGAAATACGGTGCCGTGGGGTGGGGGGGCGTGGAGGGTGGGCGGTCGCCCTTCCATCCAACTTTTGTGCATAGTTGTAAGTTCCAATCACGATCGTATTGGCATCATCCCATCCGCTCGCACGGCCATCGCGGCCCCCATTGGTGGGCTCCTCAGCGCTCCTCCTTCTTCTCTTGTTGGCATGTTCCTCCTGCTCCATCCTTCTCTCTCCTCTCAAACCTGCCCCTCGACCACTTTGCAAGACAGCTCACTGCCGAGACAAAGTCTTTGAATTCGACAGCTTGGGCAGTTGCGTGCTGGCCAGCCGATTTCCCGCAACCTACGCGGCGAGAGCGCGAAGAGTCGGGACGTTGCGCCGGCGAAGGGCCAGCCAGGGCCAGCTGGACATGCTTCTTTTTTTGCTTTCCTCTTCGTCGCTCCTGCGCCCTCGCTCATCCCCGCCTCCTCCTCCTCCGCCAATTGCCACCCCAAAGCACCTCGTCCCCTCTCCTCCCCGGACCCCGCAGAGGCGCGCAGCGCAATGCCCTTGCGAATTCAAGGGTGCGTGTGACGTGCAGTCAGACTGTCAGGACTCGAGCCTTCCCTGGCAGACAGCACGTGGTGGCGTAGCCAGCTGGCCGACGCTGCCGCCCCGCAGTGGTGCCATTCTGAGATCCGCCTGCTGCTGATGCGCGCGCGTTGTTCGCCCACGAGAGGGCAACCCGAGCGCAGCCCGAGCGCCAGGGGCTGATGGGTCGGAGGCCCTCGCTCCCAAGATGCATCTAACGTGGCCAGGCATGCGGCGCTCCGCCGTGGGGAGCCATGCCACGTATGGTTTCACGCCCTGCTCCCCTCCGTGCTCTCCCGACGGCCATGAGGACGAAAGGCCGGGGTAGACCACAGGACGAGCTCGGTCAGACTGCTGGCAGTGCGCTCGTCTCGTTGCCTGGGCCATGTCAAAGGGAATCTCGACACGTGTTGCGTACGGGCTGGTCTGTCGCTGACTGCATTTGGACATGTTTTCAATGTGTCCCGCGTCCCCCATGTACGGCGACCGCTTGCGATCGTTCTTTCCTTTCTTCTATCCGCACTCTCCCATCCCCCATCTTCCTCTCCAGTTCAGGCCCACCAGTTTCGAGCCTCCAAAAAGGAAGAGGCCCCCCAGGAGGCCCCCCAAAAGGTCCGAAGAGAACCCAAAGACGCTCCCAAGGCGTGTTCAAGAGGCTCCCTAGAGGCCGCCAGGAAGCCACATGTGTTCGTAAACTTGAAGGAGTACATCTTTCTCCTTCCGATGGGTCTCTGAGGCCTGAGGCCCGTCCAATTCTGGTCCCCATCCTCCTCATCATCCACCTCGTGCCGCTTCTCCTCGTGCGAGCTCTCCCTGAGGCGAGCGGAAGCTTTGGATGCCCCCCCCGGCTTTCCCAGACCTTCCTTTCCCACATGGCCGCGAGGCCGAAACCAATCCTCGAAACGCCCAGAGGCGGGACTCCAAGAAACACCCAGAGGCTCTCACAGCCCCCACCAGGGAGCTTCAACAAGTTTCCCGAAGGCCGGTTCCGATCTCTCCTCACGTCGAAAACGCTCTTCAAGGTGTGTATTCGATTTGATGTTCCTGGGGGCCTCTCTGGGAACATTCGACCGACGGCACGACGACTTTGATAATGATACTGATGATGTTGATGTTGGCCATGTTGCTGATACTGGTGGTGAATACGATGATGTGTATGATGGTGATGATGCTGACGATGATTTATGGTGGGTGGTACTGGTGCTAATGGTGGCAAAGATGCTGATGATGATGATCATGCTGATGATGGTGATGATGATGATGATGACGATGTCGATGACGACGATAGCAGTGATGATTACGATTGCGATGCAGATGACGGCGACGACGACAACCACGACGACGACGTTGATGATAGTGGCGATGCTGCTGCCGATGCTGCTGCTGCTGATGATGACGATGATGCGAATGATGCAGATGCTGATGCTGATGCTGATGCTGATGCTGCTGCTGATGATGATGCTGATGCTGCTGATGCTGATGCTGATGCTGCTGCTGCTGATGCTGATGAACATGATGACGCTGCTGCTGATGATGATGCTGACGATGATGATGATGATGATGATGCTGATGATGATGATGATGATGCTGATGATGCTGATGATGATGCGGCTGCTGATGATGATGCTGCTGCTGATGATGATGAGGATGCTGCTGCTGATGATGACTATGATGCTGCTGCTGCTGATGATGATAGTCTGAGGTGGAAGCCCTTCGGGGAACACGTGGGGAAGGACGAGGATGAGGAGTTTGAGGAAAACGGGGGATGAGGAGAAGGAGGATGAGATCTCTTGAGAGCTTCTTGGGTCATTCTTAGTGCCTCCTGGAAGCTTCCTGGGGGCCTCTTGGAGGCCTTTTCGGGGCGTCAGTGCAATTGGAGGGTCCCGACGTGGTCTGGTGGCCTGGTGGTCTGGTAGTCTGGTGGTCTGGTGGTCCGCCAGACCACCACACCTGGTCGGGTGGTCTGGTGGTCTGTCGGACCAGAACTTGGCGATATCGATAATTGCCTTCAGAAGCGAAATAACTGTTTCGGGCACATGTTGGATGAACATGCCGCCATGCTGCAGGAACAGGACGATGTGCTCTTTGACCGTAAGACCCGTATGCATGATATTCGGAAGGAGCTGTCTCTTGCTCAGCGGTCCCTCCCGCCGTTTATCCCAACGATCGCACGTTCAAGTGCGACGTTGATACCACTATCCTCCAGGTCACTGCTTCGGAGCTGGTCCAGAGGGATAACGCCAAGTAGTCCCTGGAAGCGTGGCCCAAATCGGCTGTTTTCGAGGGAGCGTTCAAGAAGGTTGAGTCCGCCGAACAACAGTCCAAGATTTTCACTGTGCAGTTCTCTGGGCCCATTGCGGTGGCGTGCACGATTGTCCAGCAAGCTTTGGGCGCTCAAAGCTAAGAAAGGCTGGGCCAGGTTCTTGGTGCCCTCGGTGGAGCTCCCTTCTACGCAGCTGCA